AAAAAAGCTCAAATATTTTCTTTAGTATGAAAAAGGCCAATTTTTAAGATTTTCTTAACATGAAAAAGACCCATTTTTTTTTTGTATAAAGAAATGGCCAATTTTTAAAATTTGTACAGGGACTTCAAATTAATTGAGCCGACCCTAAATAAGACACTGATCTAGTTACAAACAACAAATAGTACATAAAAAAATTAATATTACATGCTGTGGTTTCGGACCTGGGGGATTACGGGCTTTGGCCCAGAACCTCCTGGTATTCAAAAAAAAAAAAACAAAAACAAAAAAACAAAAAAACAAATAGTACATAAACCCTTTTTCAAAAAACAAAACAACAAATATTACAAAGTACAAATCCATACACAAATTCACGTCTATTTGATGAATTCTAAAGGCTCAATAGAGATAATTAGAAGAGAACACAACACAAACTTGACGCAAAATATGATAGTTTGTTAATAATAAACACAAAAGAAAAAAAAAAACACAAATGATAAATATCAACTTTACTAATATCTTCTATTAGTTGATATTTAAGGATCCTTGTACTTGTTGTTTACGTGCCTAAAAATCTGTTTTAAAAATTGATGTTATGTAAGGAAATCGCCACAAACTCCACATAGTACTGTACATACCAAAATAACCAGAATACACTTGTAACAGCAAAACTAAAACATAAATGAGAGGTTCATGTGACATCACCAGCTCCTATATTGGTTAGATTGGCAGACAAATTAATTGATATGATTGTGATAGAACCCGATATATCAACCTTTTGAGCTTGACCTAATTATAATTTTGGCCAAATCATTATTTTTACCATCTCATTTTCATTAAGATATATGTATAACATATCCAGATAAGAGATGGATCTGACACCAACACAAGTTTTTTTCCTTTGTGTGTGGATACTTACCTATAGGTCATGTATTTCTTTTTGGTTATAGTGGTTTTTGCATTCGAAATTATCGTTACTGTTGAAAATAAATATATTGGCAGTTGAAAAACAATTAAAAATACTGAGGGTCTAAATGAAAATAGTTGCCCAAAAATATTAGGTATTTGAAATGTATAAAATTACATATATTGAATATTTTCTAAACAACAATGTTAAAGCAACTTAAACCTACCTACTTAGCTGTTTTCACCAAATGTTTGAGCTATATTCTACAAATGTCCAAACAATGCCATGGGTAAAGTCATCTCAAGCATGTATAGATTCTCGTTTAGTTTAGAGCATATGGGCTAAGATAACTACAGAAGCTTCAACTTTGATACATTTATCGACCAACTATTCGATATCTTTTATTGTATGTATCCAAACAACTTATTGTTCTTCAAAAAAATGAAAAGTTATAATACATACCACTCATACAAACTCTGCAAATCTTTATAAACCTATGAGCCTTAAGATTTACATTTCGACATCTCGAACACGCGACGACAAAGTGGATTGCTATAATTTACTAAATATAACCAAGAACTTAGTATTCCCCTTAGTTGAAAGTCGAACTGAACATACCAACTCTTCTTAAAATATAGACACTCCATCCGAGAAATCACTATTTCTTACTGATTTGCACCGAAATACTCAGACCATCCTTATTGCAAGTCTCTTACTATAAATCTTAGGTATAATATAATCAAAATAATATGTGAATAGTTTAGAAGAGTTCCTTAGCTAAGAGATAAAAGAAGGTTTAAGAGCTTCAAACCATTACAAAAGCTTTTAGCTATAATTTTTTTCAATAAAACAATTCATAATAATAGTTAAGAGACAAAATTAAGAGCCTACCATTAATGTTGCTCTCATAGTTAAAAAAAAAGAAAAAAAAAACTCAAGCGAAGGAAAGGGACATTAATGGGCCTTTATGTGATGCCCAATTTAGAAGAAGAAAATTTTATTAACGAAGGCCACTGGGCCTTATATGTTTAGGCCCAATATTGTTGTGTCTTATGGACTTAACCGCCACCTTCTTTTGTCGCCGGTGACAGCAACGGGAATTTTCATGGCGGCGAGGTCACCGGGCGTTGTATTAATATGAATCCCTAATCAAAATCCTGAGAAGAAGAGATAAGCTATGGATGACGAATTGGAAGGTCTTCGAGCTCATTTTCCTGTTTCGTTCGGTAAGACATCGAAGGTTTCGGCGTCAACTGAAGCCATTCACAGCGCAACTCGCCGCACCGATGTAGCCACCGACGCCGGAGTTTCGTCGGATTTCACCACGAAAAAACCTGACTCTAGTAAATCTGAATCTGGATTCCCGTCTCTGTCTTCCTCATCTGAAACCTGGCTCCGAAGTGTTCGCGGTCCGAAACGTAACCCTAATAGCTCCAGTCTAGCTCCTTCCGATGATGATATAGCAATGGGTCCGCCGCCATCTAAACCGACGCAAGAGGAAGATGAGGAGGATGACGGAGTTATGATGGGACCACCGCCGCCACCGAAGGGACTTGGGAATAGTAATGATTCTGATGATGATGAGGATATGATCGGTCCTCCGCCGCCGCCTCGGGCTGCTATAGATTCCGATGAAGATTCAGATGATGATGATGCTAATGACAACGAGGAGAATCGTTACCAAATTCCATTGAGCAACGAGATTCAGCTCAAGGGCCATATAAAGGTATACTAAACTCTTGTGTGAAGTAGTTTCTATGGAGACTTTGAATTCGAAATTGAACAAAGATTTTGGTTTCGTGGAATCAGATTGTTTCATCTCTCGCTGTTGATAATGCTGGAGCTAGAGTTCTTTCTGGAAGCTATGACTACACTGTGCGTATGTATGATTTTCAAGGGATGAATTCAAGACTTCAGTCTTTTAGACAGATCGAACCATCTGAGGGACACCAAGTTCGCAGCTTGAGCTGGAGTCCCACTTCTGGTCATTTTCTATGCGTTACTGGCTCTGCACAAGCTAAGGTATAACGTTCCTTTTGACTCTCTTCTAGGATTTGTTATCATCTGTGAATTGCTCACACTCGAATCTTCTTTTGAATTTCAGATTTTTGATCGAGATGGGCTTACTCTTGGTGAGTTTATGAAAGGAGATATGTATATTCGTGATCTGAAGAACACTAAGGGCCATATTTGTGGGTTGACTTGTGGAGAATGGCATCCGAGGACTAAGGAAACGGTTCTGACTTCTTCGGAAGACGGGTCTTTGCGTATTTGGGATGTTAATAACTTCCTAAGCCAAACGCAGGTATTTTTCCCCTGTCTACATTCACATTTACAGTTTCTGGTTTGCTGTTTTTCTCCAATGAAAATCGTTGTTTGATTTTAGCATGCAATTGGATCATTTAACTGTTTATTGGAACAGGTTATTAAGCCGAAGCTTGCTAGACCAGGGAGGGTTCCAGTTACAACCTGTGCTTGGGACCGTGAGGGAAAGCGTATCGCCGGTGGCGTAGGAGATGGTTCTATACAGGTAATGATTGGAAAGGCTTGCTCTAATTTTCTGATTACATTCTGTCAGGGAAAGTTTGTGTTTTATCTAGTCTTAATATCTTTCTTGTTTTTCGATCAAGATTTGGAGTCTCAAGCCAGGATGGGGAAGCCGACCAGATATATACGTTGGGAAGGCCCACACTGATGATATAACCTCTGTAAAGTTTTCTAGCGATGGCAGAATTCTGTTGTCGAGGAGTTTTGATGGTTCTCTGAAGGTAAACCTTAGATAATATCCTGTTTTTGACCAGTTTGCTTAGCAATTAAAAACTGAACTCTTTCTTGAATCTTGATCAGGTCTGGGACTTGCGGCAGATGAAAGAAGCTCTAAAAGTTTTCGAGGGTCTCCCTAATTATTATCCACAAACCAACGTTTCCTTTAGTCCAGACGAACAAATCATCCTGACTGGAACATCCGTCGAGAAAGACAGCACAACAGGAGGCTTGCTATGCTTCTACGATCGCACCAAACTAGAGATTGTTCAAAAAGTCGGAATCTCTCCAACTTCCAGCGTGGTGCAATGCGCTTGGCACCCGAGGTTGAATCAGGTAAAACATCAACAACAACAAAAGCAGTGTTCCCTTTTTCTAAAATCAAATTCTCAACTTCACATTAAGAGGGTTCTGTTGCTGTAGATATTTGCAACATCCGGAGACAAAAGCCAAGGAGGGACTCACATTCTTTACGACCCAACTCAGAGCGAGAGAGGCGCATGCGTCTGTGTTGCACGTGCACCAAGGAAGAAATCTGTAGACGATTACCAACCAGAACCAGTAATACACAATCCTCATGCACTACCGTTGTTCAGAGACGCACCAAGCCGTAAAAGACAAAGAGAGAAAGCATTGAAGGATCCTATTAAAGCCCACAAGCCTGAGATACCCATGACAGGTCCTGGTCATGGTGGAAGAGTTGGGACTACTGGTAGTAGCTTATTAACACAATATCTTCTCAAGGTAAGGATCCTCGGTAACTTCTTTGGTTTTTGGATTCGTGGTATTAGTGATTGTATGTAATGTATTAAAATCTTGTTGTTGTTGTGTGTGTATTGCAGCAAGGTGGGATGATAAAAGAGACGTGGATGGAGGAAGATCCAAGAGAAGCGATATTGAAATACGCAGAGGTTGCTGTTAAAGATCCTAAGTTTATTGCACCTGCTTACTCTCAGACCCAGCCTGAGACCATCTTCGCTAAATCTGATGACGAAGAAGAAGAAGGTGACACCAAAAAATAATTAGTGTTTTCAAATTCAACGACCATTTCCTTGTATCCTGTATAATGATCATATCAATGGCACTTTAGAAGAACACACTCATCCCAGAATTGCGTTTTTGCATTCCGCCATTGTCACCGATAACTTTACAGGATTGCAGTTTTACTTAACAATTGTGTAACATCGATTTTGTCACGGAATCACACCTGGAACTGTAGAATTGCGGTTGAAATATTTTTGTCATTAGATTTTACCATAAATAGATTAGGTTTGGGAAAAAAATGCAAATTAGATACTAAGCATGTCTATTATGAAACATGAAATCAAAGCACTTGAATTAAGCAAAAAGGGTTTTCAAGTGTTCTGTACAACTATAACAAACAAAAGCTTTCTATTGAGTGGTGGTTAATAATTTACAAGAGCAGGAAATAAGTTTTCAAACAAGTTTGTTAATGGTAAAAAGGATCAGGGAGATCCAGACACGATAAGCATGTCTCTGTTTTCTTGTTTTCTTACTTTTCTTCTGCAGTACAAATCTGAGTTAAAACATTTGTATTCCATCACCTCTCTCTGCGTATATAGGGTAGTAAAGTTACCCTCTTTTGTTTTTTCTTTCTTTTCGTATGATTTGACTTTGGTTTGTTTCGTATTGTATAAGTTGATGACAAAATGAGCTTCAGAGACGCCCGTTCTCAAAGCTCGATAGTCTCGAGTCTGATAAAACACTAAACAGTTGTGTGTCTACAAATAACTGCAAAACCCAGAATAACAAAAGATAAAACTTGTAAGTCGCTGGATTCCAACAAGAATATCGGAAACTGAAGCCAAGATCGGGATTAGGAGTTTGTACCTTAATGAAGGGTCGGTCTCTACCAGGAAACGAATCGATAAAACTGTCCTTAAGAAGTAGAGAAACCTGATAAAGAAAGAAGATAGTTGGTGAGAGATAGAGAGAAAGTAGTTCTTGTTACGCTTCGAGGAGAGTCACTATCTAAGTAAGTACCCTGTCGCTATTAGATTGAACACTTGTTATGGTGTGAGAGTGTAAATCTGAGCAAAGAGACTCCATGTAATCTCTCATTACTCTCAAAAATTTAGTCGCGGCTTCTGCCTGAGAAAACAGTCAGTCATATGATCGGGTTAAGCAATTTCGTTTTGATACAATTTAGGCCATGCATTGGTAAACTACTTACTTGCACTTCATTGCATTTATAAACTGGGTGTCTTCTAGCTGTCGAGCTCTGATGAGCCAGTGTTGCATGGATTGGAGCCAACTGAGCCATAAGTTCTCTACACTGAGGCAATGCTGGCATGTTACATATTTTCACCTGAAGAAACATAGTTAACGTTACATGTCGGTTTTCCATACCTAATAAAAAGAAAAGAAATACGAGACTTTCATGATAAGGCCACCGAACCTGATTGTTGAGGATGTTAACTAGAATAAGATTAGACGTTTTGACCTTCCAATCAATAGGTTTACTGTGTATACCGACCTGCCAGGTGGCGCAAACTCAGACCGTGTGAGCAACAAGAAACATGCATAGTTCATGATTGACGATGCAGCATCAACTAAAATTGAGATTTTCATGGTTTATTATAGACTGATGAACATTCAACTCCTCAGAATAAGTAATCATCTAGCTATGAAAGACATGGCACGAGTTACTTCATATGGAATATATATACTTACAAGGAAGGGAACTGGTGCCTCAAGGAAATCAAACATCCTTCCAGGCAGAACCTGAAGACAAGAGAGAGAAGTTACGCCAAGGAAACTACAATTTGGTAGGTCAATTGTTTTCCTAGTGATTTCATGCTTACCGGAAGCAATAAACTCTGCCACTGAAATGGCCGAATCATTGGGACAAGAGACAGTACTATTGCTGACAAAACACCCTGCAATAGTTGTCGGTCAGTTCAAGTGACCATTTCCATTTAAATCTCCCCAAGTAATTGACGATGAATAACGATCAGAGGACAGATTTAACTAACCAGATTTGGGCAGATTACTACAATTTGCTTCTCTAATAATACTCCAGCAAGAAGTGACATAATCTGGAAGGAAGAAAATACTTTGTAACTTCAGATATTTGTTACCTGTGAAAACACTAACTCAAGGCACAAAGAAGAGATGGACATCTAAAACCGACACTGAACCACCAAAAGAAAAAGAAGGATGCTCAGAAGAGGCCGTACTGTTTCAAGAGAGAGAATACGACAAACTGTTGCCGTTGTCCACATTGAGAGACCCATGGCCTCCTCAGCAGCTGCCAACCTTGCATTTATCTTTGGAAGAAGAAGAAAAGTGGTTGAGATGAGATTATAAAGTAGAGACAAGATTACAAAAGGATATTTTCCGATATCAAATATACCTCGGAAGAATCAGAAGAGCAAATATATTCTTCTGACAATCCTAGGGCTGAAACTGGAGGGCGGGTATACGCGATTGATTGTAAATGTTCCAGGGGGTGGAAAACAACTTCACTTCCACGGGAAGGAATTGCCAACGAATGGTAGCCGCAAACTAATTGTAACGAATCATTGTTGTGGTCCTATCAAGTTGAGATACCATATAACAGTATATGAGAACAATGAAGAAGAGATGAGAGAGCAACTAAATGGTGAAGCAACAAGTGATCTCTTTAGTCCTTACCTTAGCCCATTCCAGTATTAAATCATCTCCGAAATCATTTTCGCTATTCGATAAATCATCAATCTCATCTGACAACACACTTCTAGCTGAACTGCCATACATAAAAAATGTAAATCTGAAATTACACTGGCAATATACTGAATCATAACATTAACTGAAAAAAAGACAACCACATTAGTTTTCCGGAGATAAGGAGTGGTTAGATCAATTTTTGATGAATTTTACCTGAACACAGACTCACAGCTTTCATTACGCTCTATCGGTTGGGTCCTAGGATCAGCACATGTAACCTCTGGAGAAGTGTGGCCATTGTCATAGCTCTGGGACGTTCTTTCGGGGGTATCCAAGTGGTTCTCAAATACTTCAGGAGAATTTTCATCGTAACAATGGAAAACTTTTCTCCCGTCTCTTTCTATTTCCTTGATCTGGCTTACATCTGAAGTATCACTGGTGACAACACTATCTGGAGATTGAGGTTCTGCAAAATTCGCAATGTCACTATCAGTGATCAATCCCGCAGCTGCGGCTGTAAGTGCCATGACCCCATCAACAGGTATTGCAGAAGCCATCCAATCATCAGGGTTGCTACGAGGTGATGAAACACGGCTATCAATTTGATCATTCGTCCTGGATATTGATGGACGATAGCATGCAGCAGCAAGAGACATCTCACTAACAAATTCGGTTATGCGTTTTAGACGCTCCTGTGCAATCATACTGCATCAACGAGTGAATGACCTTCAGCATACGTTTTACGGTCTCTGTTTAATGCGAGGAAATGCCACTACTAAGAGTAGGGGCATCTTATGTACCTGTTTAACATCTCAAAGTGTAGTTCAAAAAAAGGGACTCTGGTCAGCAAGCAGTAACATCGAGGTGCAGAAACCAAAAAACGACTGCCTCCTCCAGATGAATGCAAGGGTGATGCAGTGCTTAATACACCAGGGGGTCGCTGAACAATCTCCGAGACATGTAAGCAAACACCATACAATGTCGCATCATCTGCTACCTGACAGAGAATTTTGATTGCCTCATGTTAGATTTTACATGAGTAGTGGATGTCTGTCACTAAAAAAATTTTAAGGGGCATTTAGAAAAGATAGATTACCTTGAACGAAAATATGAACGATGAATCATCTGTGCCTAAATGTTCCTGCAGTAAACTCAAAAGTATGATATGTATAGATTCCAAGTAACAGAGATGAACTACTGAAGCTCCTACAGTTATCTTATTCAAAAATATTTTCAGACCTGTCCATACACAAGCTCATTTAGATCACTGAGAGATGGGGTCCTCTCCAAAAGTCGTGCCTGTTAAGAAAAATATCATTTTAACAGTCTTAGTTGCTGCATATATCACAGAATAACTTAATGATGCATATTATTACCAATAGTACGAAATCAATTCTAGGAAAATATTCTAATAAACTGAGATGATTCATAACTAATGATATACCAATGCACATTGAAGGTCATTAAGAAATTATAAAGAGACAGATCATACATATCATACCTTGACACCACCAGGAAAGCAGAAAGTTGCTAGATCCTTTGGACGCATTGCCACCTTCTTTCCAGGAGGGTATTTAAAAAGAATCTGTGCATGGAATAAAAGTTGATAAAGAGACGGAACAAACCAACTAAATCTGCCATGAAGCAGACAAACCCATGTACATATTAGAATGTATTAAACATGAAATAAAAGAGTGGCAAACAGAGTAGGTAACAAGACAAAAAAGAACGATGAATAGAAAACAGGATACGTGTATCACGCTACATCTCTAAGCATGCCCAAAACTATGTGAACTCAAAGAAAAAACCAAGGTAGCACAAACCTGTGGCTCCAATATTGGAAATTGAGGTCCACGGTGACGGAGTATTCTGTAATCTGCCACTTCATACCTTGACATCTCCATCTCCCATTTCTTTCTTCTACGGAAAGCCTCTTCCACTGGCCTCAAATTCGTTTCCGGATGAAGCCCCACGATGATAAAATGTTCAAACAGTGACGTTGGCTCCTTTAATTTTGTTTGATCCTAGAGTATTTATTAAACGGAAAACATTTGTCAGCTAATATGCTATGCAAGACCAGAACTTTCAGACGATTAAGGAGAAGAAGAACCAAGTAGCCAAAACCGTGTTTCAAAGGTTTGATAGGACATCCTAGAGAGATTGAATACCAGAGCTTTTGAAGAGTGGAGCTGGTACCACTGTCTTTTTTGGTTTGCTAAGACCTCAGGATTGAAAGTGGGCCGGTTATCCTCACGCAGATTGCTGACGCCACGCCAAGCCTTTTGCATCTGTGTTTTCAATCTCTGGAAACTGTTTGTGCGTCTGTGTCCAGGAGTCCCTATCTCACTTTGGGTGCGCCTATGTCCTTGTGTCGGTGACTGCGGTAAGACTGGTCCATTGAAGTATACGTTTTGATATGTCTCTCCAGCTGCTTTAACTGCATCTGCAGTACACGGCGAAGAGTCTTGCTCTCCTGTAACTTGTCTCATTTCCATCTTTCTCATACATGTGTCATTAACTTGTGTCTCACATCTTGGACTCTGCGGTTCATCATCTGTTTCCCTATGCACCAAACTCGAAATATCTTCACCATCCTTTTCCAACAATCTGTTCTCATCCCTATTTTCACAATCTGCTTTAGCTTGACCATTTACCACTTGTGTATCCAGTTCTTTAATCTCTCTACTAAGAGTATTGTCATCCCTCTCGGGTGAACCTGAACCAGATTCTTCATTATGTCCTTCACTCCTCAAGGTACCCGCTTCGTCTCTACTTACCGATACCTTCTCCTCGCAAGCTGTATTCAATTCCTCTCCATTCAACAACCTACCTTCCTTAACCATGTCCAACGTATTCCTACTCAAAGTTGTCCATCCATTTTCATCTCCATCCCTAAAATCTTCAACATCCGTCTTCTTCTTCGGGTATCCTCCTAATATATCATCTCGGTTTCTATCTCCCCGATGAACAGCCAAAACATCTCCCTGCATATCCGACTTCATACACCACTTCCCCCTCCTCCCTCACACAACATCAGCCATAATCAATAACTACAAATCTCTCCTAAAACACACACACACAAAAAAAAACAATCTAATCAAAAACAAAGCAATATTATCAACAACAATAATATAAACATCTGTGACAACCTAAATTTACAACGAAACCCTAATTTTCCAGAAGAGTTGAGAAATCATAAAGAAAAAATTCAAAGTTCCAGATGATCAAAAAATTAAGATACCTTCAAAATCCTCCAGCAAAATCAATGCTTCTGAGAGAATTTGTTTATTTATTTTATTTTTGGAAAATTCAAACAAGAAAAATCCAAAAAAGAAAAAGAAAAGGAGAGAGCTTGTAACGGAAGCTTGGATTATGGAGGGAAGGAAATGAATGCGCGGCGAGAAGATTAGGGAGAGAAGATTACAATTACACAAATTTGGAACAACAACAAAAGTGGAATTGAATCTTCTTCTTCTTCTTCTTTTTCTGGGAGGGGTGAAAAAGACAGATAAATAAAGTTTGTGCTAAAAATAGAATTATACGAAAAAGGGGAGGTTATACTTGAGACCAGGAGAAGAACAGCTCAGGTTTTTGTTTTAACTTTTATTTATTTATTTGTCTTTTTAACCTCTCACGTTTTCTTTTCCTTTAACTCTACTAAACGTGGTCTTCATGTTATATGAGCAAACAACCAAAATTTGTTGATTAATTTGACTTGTTTTTGTCTAATTTAAACTTCATAACTCTTATGTAGTCATTTAAAGTAATCTTTTTTTTTTTGCCAAGATTAGTTATTTAAAAAATAGAAAAATATGAAAAGTTTATAAATTAATTTCAAAAATGGTATGTTCAACAACATATGTTACTATTTTCTCCATTGTGTTACTTTTGCATGTTATGTTGAATGTCTTCTTTGAACGGACGTATTTTTAAAATATGCGAAAATATTTTAAAATGTGATAACCTTCACAACTTAATATATCTAAATAAATAAATAAAACTCTAAAAAATTTATTTTCTCGGTCGACAACATTCAATCATATGTGGATATTAAAACAAGGATTGCGATACATCAACGATACCAACTAAGATAATTTATTAAGCTATAAATCATGGTCAAAATGTGCCTACCAAAAAAAAATCATGGTCAAAATGTTGTCTCTTAGTTCACTGTAATTTATTTCAATACAACTTTTTATCATATACTAAAAAATCCTACATGTATATGGTGCAATTATCTATTACTCCCTCCGTTTTTTATAAGTAATGTTTTAAGAGTATGCACATAGATTAAGAAATCATTTAATTTTTGTTTATTTCTAAACTAAAACATCATCTATTATCTTATCAACCAATAAAAAAACAATCTACAGAATATAAATCGTCAAAACTAATAAAAAAGTAATTAATTTTGCATTGAAAATTGAAAACATCATCTAATTAAGAACAAAATTAGAAGCTTAAAACATCACTTATAAAAGAACGGAAAGAGTACCATATAAGCATCATCTTTGAAGAACAATGGATTCTGAAATAGACAGTATAAAAAAAATACTTTATTAGGTATGAATCTACTAACATTTAATCCAAAAAAAATATCAAAGAAATGCTTTTTTAGCCTTGTTTCCAATTTAAGTTTTAAAATGTTAAGCCAAGCTACAAAATATCAGATAAATTACATTTTTTTGAATTATTGTATTTATATTTTGCCTAGAATTAACTAGCTACTTTTATTCAGTTTTGTATACGCTACTATTACGAAAAAAATCCAAGAAAAAAACAAATATAGCGGAAAAAAAAACTACTTTCACAATTTTGTCATATCTAGATTGAAAATAACATGGACTAGAAGATCTAAACTTTTATGTTAAAAAATAGCAATTATATCACGATTTACCTTAAAAATATTTTGATTGCACATTATTTTCCCGAAAAGATCCGAAGGGAGGCACATAAAGGACAAGAAGAAGAAAACACCGGAAAGCATATGAAGATTGAAAGAAGAGAGAAGAAAGAGAATCGTTCTTTACGATATTCGTCGGACGACAGCGATTGATTGTTCTCTCTCCGGCGATAAAGATCGAAGAATAACCTTCTTCTTTTTTTATTTTATTTTTAAATTTAGGGTTTTGATTTTTTTCTCGGTTAGAGTTTTCATGTAAATTATAGCAAAAAAATTACATACATATTTTTTTCCTGGCATTGACCAATGTTGGTAAATTAAAGATTTACTTGGCCGGTTTAGATGCAATTTCAGACATCTATATTCTAAACCTGACACCTCAACACTATTTTACCATGACAAGTATCCGATTCATAACTTTCAAACCGAACCAATATTTAAATTCGATTTCAGCCTAAAACATAAAAAAAAAATCAATAACTTATGCTCTACAAATAAAATAGAAGCAAGAAAACACTTGAAGAATTCCTTGACAGAACAATTATATCGAAAGGGTTAGTCACTCCTGTCGAGTTTGGTTTTAAAGAAGAGAACCATCACAAAAAAAATCTCTGGTTGTTTAACCCACAAGTAACAAGTTTATTAATTTTGGACATCCTTTTATACAATGACAAACATTTATGTTTGACTAGGCCGTGAGTATTCGGGTTACTCCCGGAAATATACATTTGTCATTTTTAAAGTTAGTTAAGTTTATTAATTTTAGTCATCAACGATAATAATTAAGACAGTTTATGAATCTTGGTCAAAATTTTGTCTCTTAGTTCATTGTAATTTATGTCAATTCAAATTTTTATCATATATAAAAAATAATCTCTATATATATATATATATATATATATATAAAATCATTATTTTTGATCATTATTTTTGAAGAACATTGGATTATCTAGATCAATTATCTAGATCTATAATCATTATTTTTGAAGAACATTGGATTCTGAAATAGAGAATACAAATAAATTACCTTTTTAGGTATGAAACTACTAACATTTAATCCAAAAAAAAAAATAACACAAAATCATCAAAGAAATGTTTTTTTTTTAAAATCCTTTTTCCAATTCAAGCTTTGAAATGTTAAGCCAAGCTACAAAATATCAAATAAATTACATTTTTTTAATTATTGTGTCTATATTTTGTTTAGAGTTAACTAGCCACTTTTATTCGGTTTTGTAAACGCTATTGTTTTACCAAAAAAAAAAACATCCAAAAATAGTGGTAAAAAAGAAGAAAAAAAACTACTTTCCCACTTTTGTAATATCAAGATTAAAAATATCATGGACCAAAAGATGTGAAGTTCGTGTTAAAAAATAGCAATTATAGTTTGTTTTGATTGCACAATACACACCTTTTAGTAATTAATTATTTATTTTGGATGAGAGACTTAAAATAGTAGAAACTATTATTATCAAGACGATTGTTCTAAAATATATGAAAAGTCAAAGATATTTTAATTACGATAAAAACAAGTTTAACATACGGTTGGAAATCGGAATAATAAGTAAATGAATTTTGGGACGTGTTTTTAGTCAAATGGTTAACCATTTGACTCCACCTTTTCCATCGAAATTTGACTTTACTAAATCGCGTTACTTTGCATAATACATCCTCCGTTTCACAAAGAGTGTCGTTTTAAAGTTTTAATTTTGTTTCACAAAGATTGTCGTTTTATGTTTTCAATGCAGTTTTTAAGACTAATTCTTTTTTTTTATCCATACTATTTCAGCTTATTAATTATAGAGAGGGTATTATCTAGTGTATTAATAAAGGGTAAAAATGACAATTGTTTAGTTTTCTTAATTTGTGTGTAAAATGGTAGAATAACACTATTTGTGAAACAGAGGGATTAGGGATTAACTATGGATCAGACTATATCTATATAAAGATATATAAAAAGTAAATGAATATTGGTAAAAAAACAATGGGCCTGATTGGTTGCGGCTGTAGCTTTAGGATTTTAGCTGTAGAAATTTGTTTGTAGATTTTTCTGCTGTAGCTGTAGAATTTAGGCAGTAGAATTTAGACTGTAGAATTAAATGAAAGCATGATTGGTAAAAATAGCTGTGACTTTTTTAAAGTGAAAACATGAAATAAATATTAGGAATATATTTTGATTTTTCTTTTTAATTTTTACTACTAAACAAAAAAAACACCATCTAAAACTTAAATAAAATTAGTAACAAAACAAAAACAATCACTAAACACGTAGAAAACAATTAGCAACAAAACAAAAAAAATCACTAATTAATAATTGGTTATGTAAATCACACAAGAAGGGATGGGCAAAAATTATGAAAGATACGAACCTTTCTTCTTCTCTCTGTTGTGGCTGCCTTTGCTCAAGGTTTGATTATTATATATATAATTCTTAAGCTAGGGTTTCTTATCAAATTTGTTTTTAATATAAAACTTAAATAAAAATATACTCCAAAGCCCAAAACTTACGGCTGTAGCTTTTGACGTTTCTACAGCCCAAAAAAAGGAAAAAGATAAAATGTTGCTGTAGACCTGAAAATTAAATGTAAAGTATGATTGATGTGGATTTATAACTGTAGACCAAAATATGGCTGTGGAAATACTCTAAAGACACAACCAATCAGGCCAATGTAAATGGTGATTACTTTAAATGATCTATGACGCTGTAGAAATTATGGACAAAACTAAATGAAAAGTTTGGTCACACATTCATATATGAAAAAAACTAAAAGTTAGAGGTGCTAACTGTAAACGTTGAAAATTGGAATTGACTTTGAATGTGCAGTAGCGCTTTACCGAACCCAACGGTTGAATATTGTATTGGTTTAGATGTCTCTCTCACGCGCTACATTCTTCCTTCCATCCCAGCCGTTGGATTTGACTGTTACGAGATCTCTTTGACTTTGAATTAACAAAAAGATCATGAATGTTGATTTTTGTTCTTTTTTTTTTTTTTTTTGATTGATTTTTGTTCTTAAATGCAACAAATTAGTAATCATAGGTATTATTCGTCGATTGTGACACAAAAAAAAGTTAAGAATTTTTTGAAAAAATCGCAAGTGATATTAGAATATTTAGAAATTTTTTTAAAATATCGATACCTGAAATTAAAAATATCATTGTTGGTATCGTTAGCTCATATCAATTTTGATATCGTTAATTCTTACCACTAATTCTTACTATTTTGTGAATAATTAATAATTATTAAACCAATAACACTTATACCATTATGGGTACAAATTTACTAATCAAAGCCTAAGTTAAAAAAAAATCAATGAAAATATGGAAATTTGAAATATTGTTAGAACGTGCACATAACAAGCTAAACGGTGGAGGATATTATAAGGAGATGCCGATGCGGAAGCTGAGGCATTTATACCGTGAAGGAGCCCTAGGTCGCACATGCTCTTTGCCCACCACTTTAGGTCTTGGGAATTGTATGTATTTCTTACATAAATATTTCATCCGTTTTAAAGCAAAGAAAATGATTTGTTTTGATGTTATCTTTTCCCATTAAAAATTTAATTTTATTTTAGCACCAAAGAATCACTTATAAAAAATACTTATATGAATAAGAATTTCTAAAA